ATATTATTATTTATCAATTTATCATTTATTTTATTTTTAATAAATGCAGAGTAAATTCAGCGGCAAAGTTATATTCTTCTAAGATAGTACTGTTACTAGGTGACGAAAAACAATTGAACATTTAAAATTATCATATTATCATATATTGTTTATTATTCATTTATTGTTTATGAAAGTCATGAACGCGTGATTATATAGATAGATTCCAGAAAATTTCTGCTTGCAGAAAGGAAAATTCAAAGGAAAACTTTGACGAAAAGAAAAATATTACTGAAATATTTTTATGGATGACGAGCAGGAAATTTTGATGGAAAAAGAATTTTTAGATTTTTACCTGAAGAGATTTTTCATAAAAAGAGAATACTAATTAACCGACATGTATATACTGTATGTATAGGCGATTTGTTTTCATGTATTTTGGAAAAATAACCATGAGAAATAACTCTTTTGAGAATATTTCCAGAGTTTCGACTCGAACTTCAATCACAAAACCAAAAGTATTAACTTGTATAAAAAAATGGTACTACTATTTTACGTTACGAAACAAATCTCAAAGAACTCTTGGGGATGTGAACTTTTCCATGGCCTGACAAAAAAATAAAAAAAATAAAAAAAATCTTTAGATCATTTCCAAAGCTTGATTTCTTATTGTAAACACGCTTTAATAATTTAGCTCATATAATAATTGAATATTAATTATAATTTATTAACTAGACCTCCAAAAAGAAAACAAAAATTTACAGCAATGAAAAAAAACTATCAACTATTAACTATTAACAGATCGATAACAATATTTTTCGTCATAGATGGTAAAATTCTCAGACCTATGAATTTCTGGATTAGTCAAATTAGTGCTCAAGATCTTGGCGAAAGATTCATGTGGATGAAATAATTCTAAAAGTTGCAAGAATCCATGAAAAGCTGATAGTGCACCTTTATGAAATTTATCTTTGTTGAGAGTAAATCTTCAGTAAGTGTGGATTTTTAATACAGATGAAACTGGCCTTATTTTATTGTATATTTCCAAATCAAGCTCTTTTATTCCAGGAAAAACAAAGGACTGCTTATTCAAAATTAATTTAAAGAAAGGTTAACCAATGCAACTGGTACAAGAAAATGTAATCAAACCAAGATGTTTCAAAATATAAATATGTCTTTGTCATCGTAATTTAGAAGTTTACCTAAAGCATGAGTGTGCAATGATATTTTAAACATTGGTTAAGAAATTGTTGGGAATTTATTATTCTAAAAAAATCCTTCAAAAATTTTTTTAAATTTCTATAATCACTTTCGTCAAACTCTAAACCATTTTTATGCTTAAAGCATTTAATTGATATATCCATTGCTTTCAAAACATTATATCAGTTTATTCATCATTTACTCATCTAAGATCATTTAAACTATTTCATCATCATCTAAACGTTCTTTTGTCAAACTCAATTCATTATCATTAATATATTCAAAACTTCTAAATCATCATTAAGATTCGATTTCAATTATTTGATCAGTGCCAATTTGCTTTGATTGTAATTGTTTCTTCATTGGTTGGTAATTGATAAAATTCCTATTTATTTATTTAAAAAAATTTTTTAATCGCCAATTTTTTCAAAATTTTATAACAAGAGGAACCTTATATATATAGTCACGTTTGGTTATAATATTAATATGGAAGTCTAATTGTGTATTTAATGAAAAAATTAACTTTATCACAAAAGGTTTTTTTTTACCTTTAAGATTTATAACCTTTTTCATTTGATTCATGAAAATAAAATATGTAATAATTACATAATGATCTCAAATTTTTATTACAGGGCTCAAATTGGAGATTTGGACTTGCAACAAATTGGCCAGTTATTCTAGAATTGAAAACTAGAGTTACACTTCCTCAACACGAATCAGATTATCAGAAAATGATAAAAATGGGAGCCGAAATTAGTTGCAATTAATTGAGGATCCATCTTTAGAATGGGATTCTGGTACCTTATTCATTTGGTGGATTGATTGAATCCTATTCCAATATCCTAAGAGCTTATAAGAACAAACAGTTATTCAAAAGATAAAAATCGATAACGTTATTATTATTAACACAAAGAATATATATATATATATATATTTAACGAAATCGTGGGAAAGAAGGGAAAAAAAGGTTTGTTCATACAAGCAAAAAAACATTTAAACATTTAAACCATTTAATAACCATTTTATTTATTATTATTATGTGTTTAAGTTTTTCATGTGGTTTTTTATTTGGGTTTCACAAAATTGTGCTATTTTTATTTTTTATTCTACCACTAACAAATGAATTGTGGCAGTGTAACGTTAAATTTTAATATTTAGGACATTTGGCGACAAAGTCGCCCGGCAGAGAAGCAATCCAATATCTAAAAAAAATTTTTTTTTAAAATTCTTCGATAACAAGTTAACTAATTAGTTTGTTAAAACCCATTTAATATCACTAAAAAAACAAATTTATTGGTTTATTTATATGTATCATCACATTTATTATATTTTTATATAAAAGAAAAATAGTAATAATAATATATATATATATATACCTGTATATATCAAATGAGTGGGAGTAGTCGTGCAATTCCGATCCACATGGCAGACTTTCATATATTAGACACATCTGTTGTATGGCTTACTCTTTATTTTTTTCTTAATCTGGCTTTAACCTTGTATAATAAAGCTGTTATGCAATTATTTGATTTTCCTTTTCCATGGACATTGACCGGAGTACATGCTTTATGTGGAGCGATTGGATCTTATACGTTTTACTGGTTGGGTATATTTCAACCTACACGTTTGAATGAACGGGAGAGTATGGTAATGTTGTTGTTTTCAGTTTTATATACCATAAACATTGCCATCAGCAATGTATCTTTGTAAGTAAAAAAAGAAATATATATTTTTTTTTAATGTTACCGATTATGCTTTTTATTGATCTAAATAACAGCAAAAAAAAATTTTTTTCGATGGCATGAGCAGTCAAAATTTAACTCACACACACATATATATATTTATTTATTTATATATATTTACACATGTACATATATACAAATTAACTTTTATCTTTTTATGATAAATTTTCTATTTCTCTAGACATTTAGTTACGGTACCAGTAAGTTATCATTTTTAATGAATTATATATGAATAATTAATTTGTGCATTACAGATCAATATCTGATCTAGATGATTTTTTAATGTCCGAAAGTTCCATCAAGTGGTACGAGCGATGACTCCACTATTTACTATAATACTCTCGATCCTTTTCTTAAAAAAGAATTTCCCAACAATGACTTATATCTCTTTATTACCGGTTAGTATTAAAAGGTGGAGCGATATGTTGATTAGAAGAATTTTAGGTTGATTTTATAAATTTTTATTATAATATAATCTTAGGTTGTTTTAGGTGTGGTATTTGCAACAGTTGGTGATTATTACTTTACAAAAATGGGTAAGAATATTATTTATTATTAAAAATAAAAAATAATTGACAGACATATAATCTAATGTATCTTTTTTTTTTTTTTAAACAGGATTTTTTTTAACAATTTTAGGCACAATACTAGCAGCATTAAAGACTGTTGTAACAAATCGAGTTCAAGTTGGCCGTCTTAAGCTTCATCCATTGGATTTATTGTTACGTATGTCACCATTGGCATTCGTTCAAACCGTAATTTATGCTTATGTCACTGGAGAATTACATAGAGTTAGAGCTTTTAGTAAAACTGAAATGACAACATCATTAGTGATTGCATTAGCTACAAACGGCATTATAGCATTTTTCTTGAATGTGGTAAGCTTCACAGCCAACAAAAAAACGTCAGCTTTAACAATGACAGTTGCTGGCAATGTGAAACAAGTTCTATCAATTATTTTGGCAGTGATAATATTTAATTTAACTATAACACCAACGAATGGACTTGGAATATTTTTAACGTTGCTTGGAGGTTTGTCCTTTTCTTTTAAAAGATTTATATATCAATTCTTTTTTTTTTTTTTTTATTAAACCTTTTTTTTTTTTTTTTGAATTCTTGATTATTATTAGGTGCTTGGTATGCATACGTGTCAAAAAGATAACATCTTTAGATTGATGGTGATGATGATGATAATGATAATAATAATAATATATATTTTATTAATTAAAACAAATATATATTTAATAATAATAGCAGTAATATTTAACTTAATTTTAACATATTATTTACATATAAAATAGACTTGATTTTGATAATAAACGAATATTTTTTTTTTCAAATTTTTTATAATTGTTTAATGGCAAAATATATATATATATATATATATTTTTTTTTTTTTTTTTTTTTTTTACAATTAAATAATGAATAATTCAGAAACAATCCTAGAACACACATATCTAATTAGCATCGTTATAAAGTTTTTTTTAAATGATTATCATTAGCTGTTTACATTTCAAACGGTTATATTCATCCACTACCAAGCCTATTCCACAAGTATAAATATTAGTTAGTATTAAACGTTGTGTTTTTATTTTAAATATTTTAACGCTAATTAATAATTTACCTATTACATAATGCAATATTACTGGTTTTACAGCTACCTCAGATTTATATACATGTCACAAGATATCCATTACAGCGAGAACAGATAATGGAAGTTCTGAATTCATCATATCTCCTAGCTCGGCATGCTTTTTTTCGGTTGCAAACGATGAAAAAATTCATCTTCATATGCTACAACTGTTCTTCCGTTATTTTTGTAACAGTTTCATGATAAGCCTTCTGCTTTTTAATATATGTCTTAAAACGAAGATTGTGCCAACTACCATTAAATTCAAGTAGTGTTGGAAAATGCTCAAGATAATAATGCGGATATTATCTGTATTGAGCAACTGAGGTGACAGATAAAGTCGGAAGAGCTGTAATGTTCCAGGATACAGTTAGACTTAATTAAGATAAATATCAACTTGACTAACCTCTTATTATTTCTTTCACTGTGCGGTTTTCTTATGCCAGTTTCTATTTTCTCTCAATCCTTTGTGCTACATTTAATGGTTTGATTTCTATCCACACCACACGAAGCAACAAATAAGGTGTTTCTTCCCGAGTCCAGCTCAACACATCTGTCACCCACCAGGTTGAATGTCTAATGATTGGTAATCCCCATCTTAATCAAAACCATAACCATTCATACCATCCCGTTAGGATAGAAACACTCACAGCATCTGTCATGATGCCAAGGCCAAACCTTCGCCCCTTTGTATCATCATTAGGTCGTGTAATCACCTTTGAAAAAAAAAGAGAAGGTTTACCTTGGGTTTTACAAGTGAAGAAGATATTGTAGTAGATCAAAATAAATATTCGCCTTATCAATATTAAATGTAAGTCTTCACCAGTTTAAGGCATCGTTTCCAAATTCTGTCATTGTTAGTCCATGCTTTCCCAAAATCAATTGAACGGAACAAATCAAAAAGAGCAATTGTTTGAATTGGAATATATCTGTTTTAAAACTGGCGATAGGTGCAAAGTCAAATAAGCAAAGGCCACAACCCATCCTTGTTTTTTCTCTCGCTTGAGCATCTCTTCTGTAAGGAGTAATTGATTCAATGATGGAAATGACGGAAGTTGGCAAGTTAAAATGGCTCTGAGGAGCGAGCATTTAAAATTTAAATATATAATCTAACTTAGATTATCTAACCAATAGAGCTAACTTATTTTTAATTAGATATTTTATTCATCATAACAAGTAACAAGAATAATATTTATTTTACAGTACTAAATCAAAATATAAAATTAAAAAATTTTTACCTAACAGCATTTCACACTTCATTTAGACCATCGATTGATATAATAATAATAATGATACCAGTCAGTATAATAGATACAATAATAACATCAGAAAATATTGAAATTATAGAAGAATTCAATAAAATTATTTATAATATCAAAAAATATTAAAAAAAGTCTACTCTACAACATCAAACACAAATGTTTAAAACTGATAGATCTTTGATGACAATGTGGTTTTGAGATATGAAGGTGTTTGCAAATTGTTGGCTTTTTTTTTATTTGTTGTTATTATTATATTGTTATATAATTCTTATTATTGTTGTTATAATGTTTTATAATATATGGTAAAATCGAAAAAATTCAGTACATATTGAAATCCCTCAAAATCAATGATAATGAAAAGTATATTCAAGCAAAACATCTCCATTTTACAAGCTTTTAACCACTTGTATTATAACCAGTTTTTTCTATTTTAATGCGGGCATTTTCCGGTAGGCTTACCTTATTTCCTCTGGCCATGGTGGAATAGGATAAGCCTGTATGATACAAATTCTGACGGAAAATTCGCTAAAATCATACCGTACATACTTATGGAAAGGATCTTAACTTTAAAAGTTTATTGACGACGTGTACCGTAATTACACAGTACATCATATGGCACAATTTTAGATTTTATTGGTCATTACGCAGTTTAAAGACAAAATAATTTTATATATTGGAGGGAGAGAAATGAATTTAAAGTTGATTCAAGTGTATATATACTTTAAGGTAGTAGAAGTAGTTATCATAAAATCACCATATCTTTATGATTTTTTAAATAAATGACTAGAACTTTATGTCCTTGTCACGTATGAACAAAGTTGAAGGTTGCAATAAAAGAAGAATGGTCTCAAATTCCTTAGGATGTGTTACATAACCTTATTGAAAGTATGCCGAGAAGAATTGAAGCATTAATT